AAATTTTTTGGTTCTTGTGTGTGACGATGTCTCCCACAGTTATTTGAATAGAATCATAGTTAGTTGGCTTAAGTCACTATACGATTTACCAATAAATCGTTTTAGACAAAAATCTAAAATGATTGAGTTCCCAATTTATTAATTGTGCTGTAAATATCTCTAATCAGATCTGTAATTAATCTATCGGTAAGAAAACTAAACGATGGTCTTTTTATGGGATTTATATTAGTTTTTGATAATAATAAGCAGATGGAAAATAATAATATCATGAATGGGACTAAGTTTATGAAAATTTAATTTGAAAAACTGATGAAACATTTGTTTAATCACGGCTCAAATGAGATGGCCGATAAAGACCTGAGATTTATGCTACAATAAAAGTCTCGTAGAAGAATCTATATCATGTGCAGAAAAAAACGTACCATTTTCCATTACAGTGATTATAAAAATATACAAATGGCAATTAGTCATTGCAACTGGTATCATATATCAATTTTATTAATTTCCAGAAAGTTTTTAAAAATCATAATATTAAAATTCATAACGAAAGCTCATAATTGAAGGAAAAATTTGAAGGATAAATGATCGGTTTTCGAGATTTTTTTTTAAGCCCAAAAAAAAAAGATTTTGTAACACAATATGACTGGATTTTGTTTTCCACGAGTGTGACTCAAATTCAAGAATTAAAAATTTCGAATTTCTATTTAAATCTATAATATCGAAATTCTTCCAATCACAGTTTTGATTGACAGCAAATTTCGTATTTTCAATATACTATCAAAGTACAAAACTTGTACCAACTCTACCAACTGATAAACTTATCAGTTGCGAAACTATTGCATTTTTCAAGTATTACAAAGGAAAGTACAAATATACCATGACATTAATGTAAAGCTACGAGTATCACAACTGTTTTTATATTAATGAAAATTTATTTAAACAACGCTCTTCATCCACAAGCCCATTATAACACTTTTTAATATTTTGAATACTGGAAAAATTACTATTTTTTTCTAGAAAAAAAAAAACAAAAGTAACCAGTTTAGTTAGTTTGCAAAATAGAATTAGAGAAGATATAATAAAACGATTACAAGTTAGTATCAGAGAATACTCGGCTTTGTAAAAGGGATAAAATGAAATAATATAAAATGTGCTAATTTTTCAATTGAGATTATATGTACTCGTATTAATTTCTGTTTTATTAACTTTATCTGAATCCATTAATTTGGAAACCGTAATTAATTTGAAGAAATTCTAAAAGAAGCTTTGAAGTTAAGCCTTGATGCATTATTTGATTTTAAATATGATTTTAAATCAATGATTAAAGATTAAAATTAAGAAAATAATGGAGGAGTGAACAACCCGTTTGACTATGCAAATACAATATTAAGAGTTATTCAGAAAATTTGAGAAAAAGAAATATGCCTGGCAAACATTTAAATTTTTTTTGGGTTTTAGTAAAAACTCAACGCCCAAATAATATACTCGGTTGGCAAAATTGTAGTACAAAATAACTAAAATTTTGTTGATTGTTGCATACGTAATAATACAGTTGTGTCGACGGTTTCTTTTCAACTTTTAAACTTATAATCTATTTGAACAAAGAAACTGTTTTGGATATCACAAATGATTGGACATTGACACGATTAGAAGTTAGGGCTAATTTTAGGTAGACACATTTGACGTTTTCAATTGTTTTAACTGACAGACGAAAATTATTTTGAATTATAAAAATATAAATTTTTAAATCATTGTTAATTCATTTTATTCCAGTTTTATTCCAGTTTTTTTCTTCGTAAAAAGAAAAAGAAATTCTTAAAAAAGAAACGAATCGTTTAATAAGTTACAATGAAGTGTCATTTTTTTTCATATTCTTATGATTTGAGTAGAGTATTTCCATTTTCACATTTCATTCATAATGTACTTGAAAAAAATTATATAAAGTCTCCATATTTCAAGAAAAATATATTGATAACTTCAGTTAATTTCAGTCGACCAAGTTAAAAGTTTTTCGTACATTGTCAAGGAAATATCCCGCCAAATATTTGAGCAATATAGATTGAATTAAGCAATTTTTCGTGAGAAATTTTCATAATGAATTGCTTCAGAATTTCTATGCATTTTTCATTTGAATTTAAAAAAAAAATTGAAAATGGCATCAATTTGAAAGTAAGAACTCTGTTACTCCTATAGAAAGACGAAAAACTTTCAAAATGAACGGAAACGGATTTAAATTATGTAGAAATTATGTTGTGTGACTTATTTTAATCTATAGGGTATTGAATCTGTTTTGAGCTACTTTTAAATAAATCTATGGTTCAGTTTAAAAGTCTAAAAGAAATAAACAATCTGCGATCTAATATTTAAACCACTTAATTTATTTAGGCTAATGATTAAAATTTGATAATCTTAGAGTTAGATGGATTTGAAATAAAATTTTTGCAGATAAGTGTCTATTTTAATTCATCGTTTTCCTGGATGGGAATGAAAGGGAATAATAGAAAACTGAGTTTTTTATTTCATTTATTATAACTCTATTACAAAGTTTAATTACTCAAGTCAATAATGTCTGCAATAAGGTCCTTGCACTTGAAAGATTACTTTATAATTTCAGTTTATTTTCCTAGAAAATTTCTTTTTTTTTTTTCTGATTTTCTTATTTTTCTTAATGATTCTCATTTTTATATAAATTGATATACTTATACTGTGATAAAATATGGAAGATATCGTAGAATATTCTTTTAGGTAGGTGCTATGTTTTCTTTTTATTTAAATCTAATTAAAGTAAATATAAAAATTTTCAAAATAGTAGAGCTTTGTATACTTACTTATCCTTCGAATACTTTAAAATGCGATTGTAAAATTTTACAGTAAGTGGATGAGAAATTTTTTTTTCCAAATTTAATTGAGTAAAATAGCTAATAAGATGGTAAAGGAATGGAAGGATAACAAGCTAGAATTTTATTTAAAAATTTGTTTAATATACGGCCTTCCTTCAACTTACCTAGACAACATTGGCTCAAAAAATAATAATTTCTCTTCTCTGAACATATTTTCTAGGCTTTTGCTTTAAGACACACGGAGTATGTTGGTATAAACTTATATAGGACATTGGATTCTAATTCAGTGCTCCGCATTAAAAAATTGTAATCTGAAGTAATTCAAATTTTACTCAGAATACTTCGTCACCTTAAATTTTTCCTGTTTTTTTTCTGCAACATAAATTTTTTTTATAAATTTTTTAGTGTATTTGTTAGTGCATATTGTGTACAGTTGAACTTTTAGAATTTTTCACAAGTTCTTTGTTTTTTATTTAACTGCACAATATGTCCTTTAAAAGTTAAAAGAATGCAACTATAATAAGTAGTTGACAATATTATGACATTTTATGACCCCTACTACAATGACCTAATTTAAGACTCCTAAATTTATAGTTATTGTTTTCATCAAAGTTATTTTTAGTTTCAAAACTAAAATATTGAGTATAGTTATTTAAAACCAAAAAGTTTAAAATTCGAATTTTAAATTCTGTAGAAAATTATGTAGAAAAATTCATAAAAAAATTTTATTATATAGATAGATATAAAAATTCAGGATTTTATTAAATCTGAAAATTTTAACAAAAGGATAATTTTGTAATGTAATTATGTTGCAATTTAAGGAAGAATAATAATAAATAATAATTAAGTTTATGAAAGCTCAAAAATTTTTTTTTTAAATATTATCCTTTAAACTTTTGAAAGGATAATAATATTCTTTCTTTGAAAATTTTGATATATTGCATTTAAGAGAAAATAAAATATAGAAAGGAAATTTAGGTTCAGATATCTTTACCTTTTTTTGAGTAGTTTTTACAAGATACTTGAATTTAATTACGAAATAATAGGAAAACTTTTAAGGATTTTCATCCTTATATTTCTTTGTTTTAAACATTTTATTTGAAAACTCTTATAAATTTTCAATTTTCTTATTTGTAGTTAGAGAGTTTTAAAATAATAATATAATTGAATCCATTTCAAAAAAAATTATTGGAAACTATTAACGAATATCAAAGGATAAAAGCCAATTGCATTACTACCAATAATAGAACACTTTTAATTTTTTGTCGTTAATGAAATATTTTTAAATTTTATTTGCTGGTGAGTTAAATTTTATTTTGTACTGCTTTTAATAGCATAATTAATTGGAAGACTTCAATGTTGGAACGTTTGGTTGCTCTCTTCTATAAAAACTGGTAATTTTAACTAATAGAAACAATAATAATATTGAATTTTCCTTTAATAATTATCTACTTCAGGATTTTTCTTCACTCGAAGATCATAAGAATGTTTTGACATATCAAAACTGCGTCGTTTACATAATATTATCCAAAATATTGAGATATTTTTAAAAATTTAAGAACTGAGAAACCTTAAGGGTTTCGTTTAAAAAAATCCTCAAAAGTGTCATTTACAAATTAAACAGCCTAATCGTGTATCTCGCCGTTTCTCCTAACTTTTTATTCACTTTTAAACCAGAATTATCCCTTTTTCTAATGGATATTTCATTATTCCGATAAAATTATTCATTCTTTCAATAGGATCTTTGCATTTTTTTCCAAATTATCGACTGAATGTCTCACTTTAAAAAATAAACTGAATAAATTTTGAATACATTTTAGGAAAAAACGAGATACGCAATACCAAATAAGTCTTGTCAATCGAAAATTACATCATCAAATATATGAAAGTTACTCACTTTCATCTCACTTGCAGAGTAAAATAGCGAGATAGCCGATCAGACCATAGATGCTGAAAATTTTAAAATTTTTTCAGTTTTTACTTTAAGTACAGAATTTTCATAAACCCTGTTTGTAATATTATTCTCAATAACTTTAGAATAAAAGTGACAGAATAGTGGTGCATTGCAAACCTCTTGATTTCACTAAAAGTTAAGTCAAAAATTCTACTTCCTGCTGTGAAATTAAAGAGTCTTAATATTTGAACTAAATTTTTATTTACCTTTTTTCGCTATGAAAGATTTTTCGGCAAATCTGAAATTAAAAATAAAACACACTTTAAAATTTTTTGGATCTTCAGTTAATTATGAATAAATTTATTATGATAACTAAGCTATATAAAGATGGTGACTAAAATTATTAGGATTTACATATTATTATAAAAATCACTTGTACTTGAAGATATTACTAAAATTTTGTAACTAGAATTATTTTAATTATTAAAGATCTCGAACAAAAATTTTTAATTTTTCACAATTGAAGAGGTAAGTGGACAAAGGGGTTAACTAACATTTTTACGAAAATTGAACTTTTCGAACGGAACATCATTAAATTTCATATATTTTCAACTGTGATTACTTTTATAGCTAGAAACTTAATAGAAGACGAGAATAGTTTTACAATTTGTTAATGAAAAAATGTGTTAAGATGCAAATGTAAGATAACCCCTTCGTCCACTTACCGCTTCAATTCTTACCCAATACCCTAACAAACTTTTGCTTTTAATATTTTTTTAAGCACAACAACGTTTAAACTTGTACCATTTCTAAAATATTAAGGTTAAGAATCATAATCAAGTTTATTTCATAGCGCTGGCATGGAATCACATTACTCTTTTATTAATTATCAGAAAACGTACTATATTTAAGCTGAAATTGTGAAGAAATGAAAGTTGCCGTGTGATGGATAATAATTTTATTGTTAAAATTTTTTGTGGTTGAATTTCTTATACCATATGTATTAGAGTATGGTGTAATGCTGAGAACGAAATTCTTATTAAATAAGTATTTTATCCAAGAAAAAAATTAAATTCATATAAATGTACAAATCCTTATGTGTAAGTACATTATGCGCTTATACATAATATGGAATTATAAAATAAAGAACTGGATAATACGACGGCAATCTTTAAATTTCGCCTCCTACTGACATTAAACTAAATTGAAATACAAAGAATTCTTGAATTTATATTTTAACATTGAAGATTGTTTGGACAAAAGAGGAAGTATTTTTCTTTAGTGAATGTATAAATAAAATGCATATATGTATAAATAATGTTCAACTAAGTCATATTAATATTTAGCTGGGTAGATACGTTCTTCTTCATGCCTCTGTATACTTCTACAATTTTAATAGATATTTAATAGATATATACGTACATATATTATGTATGTATTATATTTGTAAGATATAGATTTTTTTATATACACATATTTAAAGGTATTTCACTTTTTTGTTTCAAAAAGGAAAACGAAGACTTTGACTCCTTTTTTTTAGTCCTAAAAAAAATGTAAATGAAGTATTTCTTCCCTATTTTATCATCAACACTAGAAAATAAAACCACACTATTATGCTCTTCAATACTATTATCGTCATCATCATCATCACAAAAAAGAATTCATTTGAAATTTGAACTGTGAGACTTTTAAAAATCGGAGTTGCCATATATAAATGTTTTGTTCGTGTTTTTATAAACTTAATTATATTTATATATTCTAGGTCATTATTACTAATTTATTTATTATTTATTTTAGGTTGTTGAAAATAATTCTTTAGAATATCTTACTTTTAATATTTTATATTGTGTCAAATACACACCCGCTTGAATAAAAAGGTAAAATTTTAAATGCGTGACGTAAACTCCGGGGTCGTTTGGGTTTTTTTATAAGCTTATCCTAAATTTTGTAAAGTTCACTATTATTTAAACTTGTTAACATTATTTATAATGTTTTTAGACAAAAAATTTGAATTTTTAACATTTAAATTTAAAGTAACCTTAATTTTTTACCACATGTGGCATCCATGTAAACAGGCTTTAATTTTTTATGAATAATTTTTCAACCTTTTAAGAATTTGCAACCTGATTTATTTTGTTACTATCTGCATTACATTTTGAAATATGTACGTCTTTCAAAATAATAATGAAACAAAAAAGACTGGGTTTTACGTCAGACACAAACTAGAAATACGAAGAAAAATAAATTGAATGCGTAAATTTTTATTGAGAACTTATTTCTCCTTTGTCTTTAAATAGAAAGGTTAATTTGAAGACCAATAGTGTGCTCTCAAATATGTAAATTGTAAGTAATTCAATTAATTATTTTAGGAAAGTACCAAAAATTCAATAATTTTCGTTATTATTGTTTCGAAAAATATTTTATTCTTCTTCAATTCCATGAAAAGTTTGGCAATATTTTATTTTTACATTTTTATAATAAAATTTTCATTCAGACTGGAAACAATGGAACATTTTTTATTCAAATCCCTTAAGCTTATTAGCGAAGATTTCATTTTAGTTTCACTTGCTTTTGGTTTCTTGTATGTTTTCTTTTTCCTTTAATTTTTTTTTTTTTGTCTTGAAGAAAATATTCTTTTGATACTTCCCATTAAGATCTCAAAAACCAAATCCTTTTCTTTTCCTAAATTTAAATGCATAGATATATTATAGACCAACTATATATTCCAATGTAAAATGTAGGTATAGATACACGAATATTTTTGGAAACGCTTTCACAAAGATTATTATTTTCTTATTACAGCTATAGCTTCTAGAGGTGTTTTTGATAGAATGAATGGTGTGACAACATGCATAGTACTATGTGAGGAATTTGCTTTAATATTTGATTGATTTTTCAATTTGTTTTTTTTATAACAATACTTATATATGCGCAATGTAGTCTTAAGATGCAGAACTTTCAAAACTTCACTCAAAAATTCATGAGTTAAAATTTGACAAAGAAACAAATTTTCTTTAAACCTTAAGTTCCTTATATAAATGAGATAAAGGTTACTATAACAGTCATTCATCATTTATTTTCGTTTCAAAAAACTTGACTGCTATTCTATGATGTATCTTGTTTAACTTACAATGTTGCAATTTACATTTAATATTATGTATTACGATAGTTCCTTCATTATAAATCTCACCTCGTAAATATTACATAATTCTAATTTAAATGAAAATAAAACCGAAATTTAAGAAATATTTTAAGGTTATCATACAATTAATTCTCACTCTATTAATATTTCATTTATTTCAGTATACATAAAATTATTTAGAAAAGTATATTATATAAAATTTTCAGATATTTAAATAGATATAGACTTAATCAGGGTAAATGATTATATTATGATGTATATTGTGTAAAATAATCAATTATTTGGCAGCCTTATCGTATTATTTTCACTATAAAATCCTTATTTTGATCTCCTTGACGAAAAACGAAAAAAAAAATAGAAAAACAAATGAAAAACAAACCAAAAATGAAAAAACTAAATAAACTAAGCTAACAAAATAATATAAATTTATATACAAGAGTATATAAAAATAGCGTAGAGAGAATCGCAGTCATCAGATGGCATTTTTGCTTATATAAAATATACAAAAACAAAAATGAAAGTAAATAATAATTAATCCTAGTAACATTTTTGTTATGTCTTGGGGCTGAAGTGGAATTATATAAAAAAATAATTCAGAATAAAAATAAAATGAATTTGGTTCTTTATTTTGTAATATTATGTACATTATTATTTATATAGTATGTATGTATGTATAGAAATTGCAAAAGAACACAAATCTTAAAACATTCAACAAAAAAATACATATAAATACATCTTTGTTTGTATGTATTGTTTATTAATAGAAAAAATTTAAAAGAACCACAAATTAGAATTTATTTTTGGGTACGTCCTTATAGAATCTTAAAGTCTTCTAAAAGGATCAAAAATATTCAAGAAATACTTTTAGTTAAAAGAAAACAAACATTCATTTTTAAGATTTATTTGTGTTGTGATTTAAACAGGACAGTACAAAATAAATTTTTTTTATATAAAATTTAGTCATAAGTTTTAATAAAATTGAAAAAATTTCAAAAAATTTATTCAAAAGGCTGCGTTGTAAATTGCAACAATCGTATATGTGTAGTCATTTACCATGAAAATATCCTAGGTGAACAAGGTCTATGAATCTGAAATGAGCTAAAATATTTATTTTAAATATAACGCGAAAATAGGTGAAGATGACCGTGATACCCATACACCAAAGAATGATTACAAAAAATATGATCCAGTTTGAAGCATATAAGAAATGAAAGCATTTTCAATGACTTTTATCAAACCAAACAGCCTTTATAATACATTTATTTATGTAAAATTTCGATCCATATATTGAAGAACTTTTGAAGTTAAAATTACATTTCCCCGAATCATTGTTTCGACCACTTCCAATACTCACAGCATACTGTCATTTACAGTAATAATTTATGCGAAAAGTTCGTAAACTTAGCATGTTATGTCTGATTTATCATTAGAAAAGACGATTCAGATTTCGACGCCGAACAAGAATATTCAAAATGCATACCTCAAACTATTGTTTCTTAGAAAAGGTTACACGTTTCTTTCGAATTATTTTAAATGATAAATAAGAAATAATGTAAAACAATCATAAAAAGCGACCATATCCATGAAGAGCAGCGTTAAAAATTCTAAACGAAATTTTGTGAATATTAATTTGAATGCTCATGGTGAAGTAATGTCGTTAATTTTCTAGTTAGTATAATTTTTAAAGGGTTTATCAACACAAAATGTGCATTTCAAACCTAAAACCGATAGTACTAAATTCAAAGATTTGGAATACCTGTTTGCTGCATTTCAGCTCAATTTTCCACTTGTAAAAGAGAATATGAATCTTAGGCAAAAAAGAAATTAAAATTTTTGGCACAATAATAAAGTTTCTCTTCTTAATTCTTTTCCAAAAACATAGTGAGGTTTTATCTAATTTAGATGCAAGCAGTTTATTTGCTTAAAGTTGGACTTATATCCACATACATTTGCTGTACATTTTCATGCCTTACAGTTTTAAATTTAGTGAATTTTTATATTTAGTTAAAAATTTACGGAAATTACTTAAATGACAAATTTTTGAAAATTATCAGCGAATCCGGGTATCAAAAAAATATGGTTGTTCACAAAAGATTTAAGCGATTGAAAAGTAATTTTTTGTTTCCAAATCCAAGTCCTTAAAAGTTTTAAGGAAT